AGACGTTATATTTATTCCATGTACACATGCTTGGCCTTATCATAATATAAGTGTCACCGCAAGAATCTCCAAATCTACATACATTTATTCCCACACCTGCTTTATCTTTGTAAACTAGCACTGAGTGAAACCGCTGGATGTTATCCATTTCATGATCTGGATCTATGACTCCTATTGAAAAGACTGCTGCAGAACCAACACATGCAACCCCTTTATTCTTAAGAATAAATCCTCGTTGTCCAAAACAAAACCCTCTCGGTCCTCCAAAAGGCTCTTGAACAGGAACCAACGATCTATGCCTTGAAAAGCAAGACATGAAATAGTTCGACCAGTCAGGATGAGAATAAAAACAAGATTGACCTTAGATTTACCTGGGTTCATATGATGGCTACAGTCCTAAATATTTTCATATGCAAGCATGCCCCATGAAAACAAAATGAAGTCATCTGAAGCTCAAAAGTAGCAGATACATTGAGCTAGCCAAGTTGCAAAGATTACAAAGATACACGAGCACATTCAGTGAAAAATGAATAGCGCCACACATAAACATATGGCAAGGAAAGAGGATTCAGAACATTGTCCATGACCATAAGGAACCACAATAACATCATTTCCATTTCCATGGACATCAGCAGGGAACTGAATGATGGACAATTTCGCTTACGTACATCCAGTGACGAGACCTAAGGTTTAATAAAGAAAACGTTCTCTTAATGCTGGTTCATACTCCAAATGCCTTTAATAAAGGTATACAGATGGTGTCTCGTGCCCACTAGCCTCGACCTCGTCACATCATATAGCAGGTAACGGAAGATATCAGAAGTATTCCGTTGTTAATGGAGCGTTCCCCGTCGTCATTGGAGCTTCATGACGCATTCAGCTGTTGTGGCTATATGGCATCGCCTGTCTCTCACCCTGACAGAAGCGGCTGGCGCGCAGGGAATCGAACACCGTATCTCTGTTTCTCAGACACGCGGTGGTCAACTTAAACGCCGGAACCACAACACTATCGTCACCCCACTCGTGGTGTTTCCTAAAAAATTAGGGAGTCGTAAATGAACGCAATCCCAAGTCTAAGCCCTAGACAGATGATTACTAATTCAAACGTGACTAGCAAAAATGAGCTCGTCCATATGCCACGTAAGTGTAGGCCACCTCGCGCATCCAAGCTCCTTGCATGGCTGATGACAAACCTTCTCCCCGATTTCATCCTTCAACGCGTTTATTTTGAAGCTATGCTGAGATCACTGGGGTGGTTGAGGGGAGTGTTCTGCACTTGCATGGGGTTCTGAACTGAAATAGCTATCTTGAAGATCATTCGGCACAGTTCACAGCCTTGTCCTTCTAAAAACCTAAGTCCCTCTAGTTTCTGGGCTACAAATCGCAAAGATGTGCAGACTATTTTGTGCAGACTATTTCTGCGTCATTTAGGCATCCATGACGCCGTAACGTCATTCAAATCCTGCCATTCCATTAACCGTGCGGTGATCGGTGCCCAGAAAAATATGTCATTCAAGTCATTCATATCTGATGTTCCTGAACACCATTTCCAAATACAACGTCTTTCAATTGGCTCTTAATCAATGTTTTGCGCGGTGCGATGACGCAAGCAAGCAATGACGCATCGAGGGCCATATTTACTACATAGAGAAATTGTGTTGTCTAGACCAGTATTTTCCACTCAAAAGTACACCAACGTTATAAGTGAGCTTATTTCATTATATCTGATGCGCGATTCAGTACATTTGAATAAGGAGCACTCCTTTGAAAAAAAAACGGTGCCTTTCTGCGGCTTACCTCCTGGATACGTACCAAGGCAATGCATTCATACAGCAGAAAACACTGCTGGCATCGCCATATAAGGTTCATTATTTGCAGCTAAGTTCTTCTTTGGTGTAGAAAACTTGATTCGCCCGCTGTTATGGATTTCACAAATAGGTATTGTAAATGTCATGCAGGAGCATGCTTTTATTTTAATCCAGGTATTGGGTGGTGTTTGCTGTTCGGACATGTCCAGCGTAGTTGCATTTATCAGATGTGCCTAAAAGCACCTGAATGTTTACGCGTGACCTGTGTTCTCTGACTTATGATGTATTTGAAAAAGAGCATGCAAAATTCAGAAGTGTAGCATTGCAAAAGGTTAAAATGTTTGTAGTGGGAGGAGGCGGGATAAACGGTTAACTGGCCAATTGGAAGCCAACGATATCATCAACGGTACAAACAAACCTGGAAATTCTCACTTGACAAAACCATTACGATAAATATTTATAATCACGTCTCTCACGACATCCAATCCATATTTAAATGGCTCACGAACATTGACCGCCTAGTGTTGAACACCTATCAACAATGTGCAACTTCACAATAGCACGCGGCTGGCATCGTTAGTGACGTGTATCATAGTTGTGGCAGCTTCACTGACCGGATTCGATTAACTCTCCTTGACACTTTAAGCTTGTGTCATTGCGCTGTTGTTCACAGAATGGTTCACTTTCACACTGTTTGCTGCGTTACCAATGCCCCGCTTTGGCATCTGCATAGAGCGACGGTTCGTCGGCGCGTTTGAGGGGGCGGCGGGGCGGGGCCGCGCGGTGTTCCCGGCGGGCCACACGGTGCTCCCGGTAGGCCTTGCGGTGCTCCCGGCAGGTCCCGTGGTGTTCCCGGCGGGCCGGGCGGAGCTCCCGGCGGGTCGCGCGCAAGCGTTGTTATTCTCCCACCATTACACTGCACATCACCCACGTTTGTTCATAAACCATGGCACATGGTGGTTGAAGCAAATGTTCCACCTTTACATGGGGTTTTGACACACACGTAATTAAAGGAAATGTTCCACACAGCACAAGGTGATTGAAGGAAATGTTCCACCTTTAATGAAATAGCCATCTTGAAGGCCTTTTGGTGCAGTTCACGGCCCTTTTTAAGACCCAAAACCCTCTGGTTCCTGAGCTATACACCTGCAAAAGCGCGAAAACGTTTATTGAGAGACTACCTCAAAGTCACCTTGGCATTGATGTCGTCATAGAGAGGTCATACAATTGCCGCTCTATTACAGCTGTTCTCTGTTTATGGTCAAAACTGGGTGGTCTCTGATACATTCGCAAGAGCGATGATGCGGCACGCGTGATACAGTCCGCGGAAAGTGATTGGCTGTTGGTGATTGGTG